CATAGCCAAAGACCCCCAAGCCCCTACCCTCATTAACAGACCCCCAATCAGCTTAGTCCAGGGGCCCAGTCCCCCCAACCCCCAGTGCCCCACTCCCACAGCAGCAGAACCCCCACCCCCTGGGTCCTGGCACCCCCTCCTCACCAAGCCCAGCCCCCCAGGGGGTCCCCAACAACCCCTGCTCTGTCAGCCAGCCCCACAGGGGTCCCAGCAGCACCCTTCAACAGCAAGCTGTTTAGGGCCCCTCCTTTCCAGGCTTCCCCAGCCCCTAACCCCACCACCTCAGGGGGGGCCCAACATCCCTCTCCCCTCAGCCATCCCCCCCACAACCAGGTCCAACCCAGGGTCCTAATGCCTCCTGCCACCAGGACCTGCTTCCCCCCTACCCCTAGACCAGCTGCTCTGGGGGTGCCAGCACCCTCCCCCCTCCCCCCTGCAGCCACCCTACTTGGGGGTTCTATAGCCCTCCTCCTCCAGACCTGGCACCTTCCCAGGGATCCCAGTGCCCCCCACCCCTTACTCACAGTGCCATCCAGCAGGTGGGTGTGCTTGGGGCAGAAAACCTTCTTGTCGTCCTGGAAGGTGCAGCGCCGGCGCCGGGCACACATGAAGTGGTAGTTGCTCAGGCAGGCAGACAGGCAGCAGCCCACTGTGGCACCCGGGCGTTGGCAGTGCTCACACCGCTGGCGAGGCCAGGGGAGGGGATGGTCAGTGCCAGGGGTGTGGGGGCAGCCTTGCCACGATCCCCACACCCTGCAGCCACCCCTGAACGCCCTTCCCCCCCCCAGCTCCTTCTAACCCACAGCTGCCCCCTTATTAATACGTAGCAGGGAGGTGGGAGACTGGAGGGGCAGAGCCAGGCTATGGCAGGTGAAGCCTGATGGGAAGGGGTGGGGCTGTACCCTAAGCTACCAGGTGGAGCCTCACACCAAGGCCCTGCTAGAAGCCAAGGAGGCCTATGAGGTTGGGGGGGTGGAGCCTCACATAGGTCATGGGGTGGAGCCTGGCTTGTGAGGGGCAGAACTATCCCCTGAAATAAATGAGGGGGTGCAGCCTCACAGGCAGACCAGGGGGTGGAGTTTCCTATAGAGGGAAGGAACCTGGCTGTGGGGTGGGGCTATACCCAGGAAGAGACCAGGGGGGTGGAACCTCATCTTAGGAGGCAGAGCTTGGTATGGGGACTAGTAGAGACTAGGAAGCAGAGGTTCGGTTTGGTGGGGTACTTGTGGGGGGGGGGGCACAAAAAACAGGCTGGGAAGGTCGGAGCCTCAGACAGGGGTGAGGCCAGGGCTAACCATCTGGCGGCCGCGGGCTACAGCGGCGTGCACGTTCTTGAGGGAGCCATCGTTCTCCTCGAAGACCTCAGCTGACCACACGGCGCAGTTCACATGCGTCCACTCGTTCTGCCCAATGTACAACAGCCGCCCGGCCTCCTGGCGGTGGCGGGGGAAGGGGTTGAGAGCCAGCTGGGCAGATGTCCGGGCTACCAGTGCCCTCCCCCCCCCTCACCTCCTCTCCGCAAGAACCCAGGCATCTGGGCCCCCAGTCCCCGCCCAGGCCTGGAGAGAACCAAGGTGTCCGGGCAGCCTTACCTTGGAGGGGGCATCCCCATACTGCAGGCACAGGGCGCACTGCCGCTTGTCCTCCGTGCCGCCCCCCGGCCCTGTGCCAGGTCCCTTCACACCTGCTTGGGGGGAGACAGATGGCGGATCAGTGCGCAGAGGAGCAGCACCCCTTCCCCCATGTCCCACACCCAGTCCCCCCTCACCCCCAGAGCTGGAGAGAACCCAGGCATCCGGGCTTTCAGCATTCCCCTGCTCTTACTCCAAAGCTCCCGCATCGCAGAGAACCCAGGCGTCTGAGCCCTCAGCCCTAACCCCCCACCATCCTTGCTCTAAATACTGGACCCCTGCTCCCACCGCAACCTGGGGCAGAACCCAGGAGTCCACGTAGCCCAAATTCAATGAGAAATAGCTCCCTGCCCTGGGCTGAAGGAGAACCCAGGCATCCGGGTTCCCAACCCTCCTGAACCCCAGCCTACACTCCCTCCGTCCCAAACCAGGGAGAAGCCAGGCCTCTGGGCTCCCACCTCCCCCTACTCCAGCCTCTCAGTCCCCTGCCCCAGACCCAGGCGTTTGGGCACTCACCAGGGGGTGGGGTGGGCTGCTCGTTTTCTCTCTCAGGGCCGGGCTCCTCGGGCTGGCGCCACTGGGCATAGAGGTGGTCAGCAGAGGGGGGCACCACCGCGTTCGGCAGCAGCCCGCTGCAGGGGGAGGCAGATGTTGGGGGGGTGGGCTGGCACCATGTCCCCCTGGCCCC